ACTTCTCAAAAGAAAGACATTCACAAGCCAACAGACACATTGACAACAATGCTTCATCATCATGGCATCAGAGAAATGCAATCAAAAACCCAATGATGGATGAGATACCATCTCACACCAGTTAGAATGGCAATCATTAAAAAATCAGGAAACAACAGGTGCTGGAGAGGATGTAGAGAAATAAGAACACTTTTACACTGTTGGTGGGACTGTAAACTAGTTCAACCATTGTGGAAATCAGTGTGGTGATTCCTCAAGGATCTAGAACTAGAAATACCATTTGACTCAGCCATCCCATTACTGGGGATATAACCAAAGGATTATAAGTCATGCTGCTATAAAGACACATGCACACATATATTTATTGCGGCACTATTCACAATAGCAAAGACTTGGAATCAACCCAAATGTCCATCAGTGACCGACTGGAGTAAGAACATGTGGCACATATACACCATGGAATACTATGCAGCCATAAAAAAGGATGAGTTCGTGTCCTTTGTAGCAACATGGATGCAGCTTGAAACCATCATTCTCAGCAAACTATCGCAAGAACAGAAAACCAAACACTTCATGTTCTCACTCATAGGTGGGAATTGAACAATGAGATCACTTGGACACTGGAAGGGGAGCACCACACACCGGGTCCTATTGTGGGGAGGGGTAGGGGGGAGGGATAACATTAGGAGATATACCTAATGTAAATTACGAGTTAATAGGTGCAGCGCACCAACAAGGCACATGTATACATATGTAACAAACCTGCACTTTGTGCACATGCACCCTAGAACTTAAAGTATAATAATAAAAAAAGGGTTATTGACCCACTTATGCCTCGCGTTCTATTACTGAAATGCTAAGCATGTGGGAGTTATTTATATTCTTCTTCTCAAGGTCATCACCAAGGTCTGATTGCAAAAATTCAAAAACTTGCAGTCTCAGGCATAAATGAGTTAAAAACTTTTAAGGAGCAAGCAGAATGAGGAAGATAAATTCCAGACTGTGTGCCTAAAATAATACCTATAAATTAGTGTTTATCCAAATTCTCAACACTTCCTGCTTTATCCTGTCAGCATATGACTTTGCTTTGTATCCCACTTAAAACACAGAATGAATCAAAACTACACACCGCCAAATCTACCCTCCTTCCTTGAGTTGTGCCCATATACTGTGCCTTACCTCCTGCCGCTTCAGATCAATTGTCCAGGTTTCCATCCATGTCCAGCCTCTCTACTTTTGCACCAGATCTCACCCTTCTCAAGAGTACAGTTTCTACAATTGTCCTCAGATTTGAGAGCTCAACTATTTCGTGCCAGCAATTCTACAAATATGTACTAATTTCATAAACCTTGGAAAAACATTCTTGATTTCCTACTGATATATTCCTATGCCCCCTTTTAAAAGGAAAAGAAGGATTTCTTCTTCAAAGAGAAGCTGCCTGTGGTAGACTTACCTGTAGTAACTCTAACACCTTCACACGCAAGCTCTCATGAAGTCATTCCTGTGAAGCTTTTGTTTCCACTTCTCCACACAAGGACTCTTGTAAAGAATTAAAATGGCCTCTGTGTTGCTAAATTCAATGGTCGATTTCCAGCAGTCATTTTACAAGACTCCTGGTTTTTACTCTCACTTTATTCACAACTACAGCTATTCCTTCTTTGCTGGTTCTTCCCCATCTTTCTTACATTTTTATACTGTGGAATCGCAGGGATGAGTACTCAGTCATTTTTTCTACCTATCCTGCACACCTTGATCTCCTCATCCAGACCACAGTGTTTTACCTACCATCTATGTGCTGACAGAAGCTGAACATCTATTCTGAACTCTAATTTTTCCCTTAAATCCACACTAATATATGCAGTTCTCCACGTATCACCTGTATATCTAATATGCGTTCAGATGCATCATGCCCAAAACCAAAATCTTGATCTCTACTTCCAAACCTGCTTTTCCCACAATTCCTCCATTTGCAGAGCAACACTTTTTTTCCAGTTATTGAAAACTACTGCCAAATTCAAACCATTTCCATATAGAAACTTTGTAACTTCTCCTCCTTCTTTCGATTCAATTATCATAAAGCTTATTCTCAATAATCTAACCAGAATCGTCATTTTCTGAGTTATGTCAATGCTTGTCACTCCTCTGCTCAAAAATTTCCCATGGTTTCCCATGTCGCTCATAGTAAAACTCATAAAGGCTCATGCAGCATACTGTTTTCTTTGATCTCATTGTCTGCTAAGTACTCCTTAATTCATTCCATTTCAGACAAAACGGCCCTTGCTTTTCTTCAGACTCTCCTGGAACATCCCTACCTCTGGGCCTTTAAAATTATAATTCTTGTGTCTGGAATATTTCCCCACAAACATGGAAATGGCTCACTCCTTCGTCCCTTTCAAGTTCCATATACAAGGCAACATGAATTTTCCTTTCCCACGGCCCCTTGAGTAGTCTTTGCTGTCTCCTCCACTTTATTTCTTGATTGTAACTGTCATATTCTGGCATATTATCCTTAATTTATTTATGCCCTTAGTCACATTTTGTCTCCTGTCACTGGAATGTAAGTCCCATCAGGACCGTTTTGTTCCTTTGTTTGTTTTTGTCTGTTTTATTCACTGCTATCTTTTAACAACAAAAAAGAGTAGATGCATAGGAAGGACTTGGTATTTTATTGAATGGATGACTCTTTACAGTTTTGAAGATAGCTTATATTCAGTGATATCTGAGGGATCATGACAATCATAAGACTTTTTTTTTTACAAGGGAAACTTGTAAGTCTGTAACTTGGCGGAAGCTGTCGGTGGATGGATAGATAGATGCTCATCATCAGTGGATGTTTGATAGGTGGTAAGAATGCAGGTCTAGTACTCACAGAAGAAATTAGTAAATGAGCAGTGTGAGTTTACATAAGAGGAATTGTTGACACCCTAGGAGTGGAAATGGTTGCCAAGGCTGATCACTGAGGCAGAGGAAAGATGTGTGGGTATTGGAATGAAAAGCCAAACTTGGATCCAACTTGGTCTCCTGCTTTCTCTTCTAATCACCTGCTATTATTTCCTGTCTATCACTCCTTCAAAACAGGTATAAAAAGGTTAAACTGTCAATCTATATCAAATTATTGACAAATAATTGACAAAGTGGTATTAATTGAAAATTTTCATTTTTCTAAAGATGCCTGGATACTTAGATATTTAAGGGTTGTTTATTTTGGGTAACCAAAATATAACCTCTATTTTAATAAAGAGGTGGTAGAATTACCTTTGAGAAAAAGCTATTTGCCATACTATTTTTACCCATTTGTAACACTCAACAATATTCTCCTCCTTACCAAGAGTGAATTGCTTATTTTTGTTGTTGTTGTTTTATTTTTTAACAACACGCAAGAACATTTTACATTTTCCCAAAATTTCCAAACCTTTCACATCACGTGGATTTAATTTGGGATAATAGAGAAAGTATTCAAAATTTGTTTGGGAAATAACCTGGTTACACCAAGCATGATGGGGTGAATGGCGGATTTCCAGGATGAGCTAAAGCAAAGAGAACTTGCTTATTTACAAATAACATATGACTAGTGCCAATGAAGTAGATTATTATATAAATAAAGCTTCTAAGATCATTATGATGGAGTTACTAAAAACTTTTTTGGTGGAAACATCTAAGGGAATTAGAATAAATGAATAACCTCTTCTATTCTCTAGAACAAATTGCTGTTTCACAAAGGAAACTATCAAATATTGAAGTTTTGAAGGGAGCTACTAAGAAAGCATAGCTATTTCTTCTATGTTATAGAGACCCCTGAATATATGTTATGGTTCATTGTACTCCTATTGCTTGAACTGAGAAAATGCTCCTCAGATGAATTATTTTATTTAAATAGCTGCCTGGTACATGACAGATGTTATAATGTGTCATAATGTATTGAATATTTTGTAATATTTTCCACTGCCACATATAACTTGTAACGTCAGTCATGTACATATCAATTATAATTCTATATTCTTTATTACATATATGTAGTGAAACATATAATAAAATAGCAATGAGTTTATCAGAAATTTCATATGCTTTATTACCCTCTAGTTATCCTCCTTGTGATAAGTTAATCATATTGATTTCATCAGGAACATAAATGTATTAATCTTTCAATCACCTTGGAATTAAAACATGTTTATGTGATTATTGATGGTCTTTAATAAAAATACTAGCAACATCATCTTACTAAATGTATTCTGAGCATTGCTTTATGATTTTATAGCTATTTTGACATAATTATGTTTTGAAATAACTTTTTTCTGTTTTCACATATATAGTTTGGTTGCCACTGGTAAATGGGTTACAAATTTCTTTTGGTATTTTAATGAGAAACCTATTTCTAAAAATCCAAAATGAATTAGTGAGCTCTAGTTTATTTATATTTTTTTTAGTAAATATGCCCCATACACCATTAAACAGCCAGCCACAATTAAAATTAATACATGAATTATTTTTTGAAAGTGAATCATTTGGACCCTGTGGTTACAAGAGTTCATATCCCCTTACTTCTAGAATTTTTTAATTCAGTTTCTTATGGCAAATATTAACTCATTCTATACAATAATCAAGAATAGTTTTAAATTGCTCTAACTCATATTTATCATCTGATGTGTGTATAAAGAGATAAAAATACTTTTAAAAGTACTTCCAAGTTTATCTTTAATTATACATTATCAGGAGTAAAATTTGGGCAAAATATATTCATCAATGCTAAAACAACGTTCATAGATGATAAGAGTGATTAGTCCTCCCTACCTCTTATCCACCACCATGTATTGAAATAAATTTTCAATACTTATGATGTTTACATGTTGACCAAAAATGTCTACATTTGAAATTAGTTTCCATATTATAGATATCACAGATTCTAGATAAGTGTATTGAAATTTTTTAAAAAATCTAGCTATTATAAATTTTTAAAGACATTAATTTTTTTGTTATCTGACTTGTTTTTCTTTCCCTTTCAGGAGTTGGAATTTTCTAATTTATTTGCTGTTCTTCACTGCATTCATTCCTTCTTTGCTGCCAAGGTAGCTTGTTTGGACCCTCTATTTTTAGGCAATCAAGCTATTGTTTCTGCTGCTGCCAGCTCTGCTACCACGAGCAAAGCAAAGTATACAACTTGACGTACTGAGCTCTGCATTGACACGCACCATGACTATATAAGCAGAACACATTTACTCATCATTTAGACCCTAGGGAAACCATAACATCACCAAGTCGGCAGTGGAGGCAAATCGAAATTTTGGCAGAAAAAAGAAAGTCATGTGGAACCTCAAAAACACTTCCATTCTGGATGACATCTGTGAAACATACCATACGAACAAAACAGTTCTGTTGCTTTGTACCAGTAAGTATATTGCTTTCACCAAAAGTGGAGACAAAAATGAATTATTTGAAGAAATATGTAAGTAATATAAAAATAGTAAGCTACTTATAAATAAAAATACTTATTAAAAGATTACTTCTGTATTTTAGATTATTTTGTATGACTAGTACATGTTGGGCAGAGTCATAAACAAAGCCCTATCATTGTATTATGAGGGACATAAAAGAGTTAAAAACCATAAATCAGCAAGGAGCATGCAAAAAAATCACATCAAAGAAGGATGCACTTTAATTTGCTGATGTAAATTTGCCCTCGTGTTCTCATCCCATGATTTGACACTGGCAGTCCAATTGTTTTTATCTTATTGTAAATATTCCAAAGAACTTCGAAAGGATAATTACTTTGACCCATGATAGATACAATGTGGAATGGACTATTCTCCCTTCGATCACTGTTATTGAAATGTCTTATTAGCTGCCAACAATCAAGTATGCCAATAATGTATTAATTTAATTATGAGTGATGGGAAATTTCATGAACCTCTCATTTCTTCTTTGGTTTTAAATAGATTTATATTTTACCTAAGAAGATTTATTATCAAATTAAAGTTTCATAAATTTTCAGTGAACCAAAAAACTTTAGTAGAGAAAATAATATAAACAAATATGGTGTGAGAAGCAATTCTTTGTAATCTGAAGTCTACTAGCTAATCATGAACTAAAATGTCCCTCTAAAGCAGTCCCAAATCTATTATATATGCTAATTAAATGACATTTTTCCATTTCAGTACTATTTTATTAGAAACAAAGGTGATAGTTAAAGATAAAAGTTAAAAATCTTTATCTTCCCTTTTCATGGAAAGTGATTAAGTAATGTCAACTATGCAGGTTATTTTAGATATTTTGTCCTAAGAATGTAAATGTGGAAGGCTGGGAAATTTGAAAGCCTTAGAGGTGTGCAATTTACTGAGATTCCAGGTATTATACAACTAGTTGTATAATATGGAAAACATTCTCTGTCCTTTAGTACAGCTTTTTTGAGATATTTTTAAAAGTCAACTGTGTATGTAAGAAATAACAAAACAAAACTTTTTTTATTGGTACATATGCTCCCAGGTAAACCAAGTATTACATGTGTCCTTGTGGATATAACCAAGTATCTAATAAATTGATTCAATTTTCTTTTTTTTTCAAATATGTTTTTAAAAATCACTCAAGAAGGAAACAAAATGATTTCTATAAAGGACAGATTTATTAATTTTAAAAATTAATATCTAGTTGTTTTTATACTCATGATTCATTAATTTATTTTGCATCAGATTAATTTGTAAATACCTCAAATTGAAAAGAAAAAGTGAGGGTTTATAATTGTCCCTGAGAAAATGTTAAACTGAGTCTAACATACCTTGCCCAAAGAACTGTGACAAATTACAATAAACAGTTTCAATGTAATGTATTTTGACCATAAAACTAAGTACACATTTGTAATTAGTATAGAACTTTAGAATGATTGCACACTATATTGATCAAACACAACAGTCATTGTAAAATTGGAGCCCACCAAAAGCAGGCTTCAGTAGTAGGCCACTTCTGAACTTATGGAGAAAAAGCAGTGGGATACATCCAACTTAGAATTTTCAGCTGTGGCAGGTGGTTCATTGTAGAACTTCTGCTTCCAACCAGAGCTGAATCTCAGTGTTCCCCATATTGGGGTTACATGAATGTGTCCACAATCTGGTCTGAGGCAATATGACATGGGCTAATTATCCATAAGCAAAAGAAAAAAGTTTCAATAGTTTACCTACCTGTAATAGAATGATTTAAAAATTGTGAAATTTTGTAAACATTCAATTTCAAAATTTAAAAAATCTCTTATTAGCTATATTTTTTTGATATTATGAAAATTTAGCCTATGCTCATGTATGTTATGAAGGAAAAGGTGCACAATTAGATATGTATAAATATATATCTCCTCAGAGAATACACACACACCTACATATGCATATATATATATGCATATATGTGTGTGTGTATATATATATAGTCAAATGCTGACCATTAATTATATTAAAAGAATATGTTTTGTGTACATACATTTAATATACATTAAATTAAGTTGTAAAATGCAGTTTGATTAAAAACTTATGACAATACCATTATGATTATTTTTGATACTATTGATAAAAAAACATAAGCCATGATTTTTATTTAACATGATTAGTACAACAGGCAAAAAGTAACAAAATACTATTCTCATTTTCATCAGTTTAACAATTAGTGTTTAATGTTTTCTTTACAATGTGATGATTAGTCGTTGGCATTTGTTATCTCTTGGACTACTTGAATGAGAAAGCTTATAAATGAACAAAAACACATATAAATTTATCTCTCTCATATAATTTGGGTTTACATGTATGAGATTTATTCACAAAATCCTAGTTTGTACATTGAGCACATTTTAACAGCAAAACGCTAATGTGTTAACCCCTCCAGTGCCTTGGTGTGTGTGAGCATGTATGTGTGATTGGGTGTGTATCTATGTGTGTATGTGTGAGTGTGTGTGTGTGTTATCATTAAATGGTTCATTATGGTGTACATAACACAAGCTTAATGGGGAATATTGTTATTTAGGTCAGAGAATGAAGTTCAAAGTCATTTGAAAACTGCTAACTACTATAACAATGTCTTTTGCCTGATAAAGAATAACAATTCATCTAAGCTGAAGCATATTACAGAAAGGGCATTTATAATTTGTTATATTGCAACAAGTATTTATTTAAAAAATAATTTAATAGGTAGTGTATGTGTAATGTATACCCCAACACACTTATCCAGCTTTTTTAAAATGGGAGGATAATCAGGTAATTATTTCTTGCCCATATTTCAGACGTGTACCAACTTATAATTTTGAAATCTTCTCTCATAAAGCTGTCCTTCAGCAAGAAAAAGAAAGCAATTACTTGAAAATAAATGTCGAGTCCGTATTAGCCATGCAAGGAGAGAAATGTTCCTTTGGGTTCTTTAGTTTATAGATCAACATTTCCCTCATTTACAGTGCTGAAGCTTGATTATGAACTTTGTCTATGTTGAATGCTGGATTTAAGAAAAGCTTGATTTATTACTGAGAAAAATTAATTATCCTAACAATAATTTAGAATTACTGCTAGAAATCAGCAGTGTGGAGAAGCTTTAAAAGTACAAGGATGATCTTGTGCTTAACTTTTTAAGGTAAGTGTAGACGTTTGGATATTAATAAGACACATTTTGCTACTATTAATACTGCTGTGCTTATAATTTCTCCTTAAGAAATTGCTTTATTCATACCTCTAAATTTGTTCTTTATTGTTTATTCTTACTACTGAATACTTTAAAATCATAATGCCACTTATTTGCACATTTGAATTTGCTTTTGCAAATAAAATATTATAAATGTTATATATTTTATATACATTAAAATGTAATGAAAATACCAGAAATATAAAATGTAAATATATTTATTTCATTTTTAATTGTTTTGGTGGATGTTTGTAAAATGTAAATTAATATCTGTGACAAAAATTTGTCACTTCGTTCTTTCAGTTAATTAATGTACTACTAATAAAACCATACTTTTTTAAATGAAGCATACTGAAAAATAAAAACAAATACTTTTTACAGATTTGGGTTTTCATTTCTTTGGGTTTGATTTGTAAGTTTTACATATGTTTAAAACATGATCCTGAGAGATTTGACTTCAATTAAAAGGTTTAAGATATGAACTGTGTATATGTAAGTGCAGACTATGTGGTACATAATCTGTTCTAGTTGACAAATATTTACGAAGAATAGACATCTAACTCCTAAATGCTCCTAAAGTTTGAAGAAAGATGGTATTTGTCAAATTACTTACCCAACTGAGTTACAACTTCTGAAAAATATGACATTTGATATCACTGTAATTTGTTTATCAATTCTAGTGCCTTTTCTGTAGATTAAGATTTTCTATGTTGATATCCATGCCATCTACAAGAGAGTCTGTTTTATTTATTCCTTTTTATTAAATACGTTTTAATTTTGGCTTCCTACCATATTACACAGGTTGAAACCTCCAATTTAACACTAAATTGTTGTTTAACACTAATTGTTGAAAGTAGACATCCTTGCCTTGTAATGATTTTAGGGGAAAAGCATTCAATCTATCACCATTAAACACTTTGTTGGCATGGGTTTTCAGTAAATGTCTTTATCAGACTAAGCAAGTTTCTTTTTTTTTTTTTTTTTTGAGACGGAGTCTCGCTCTGCCGCCCAGGCTGGAGTGCAGTGGCCGGATCTCAGCTCACTGCAAGCTCCGCCTCTCGGATTCACGCCATTCTCCTGCCTCAGCCTCCCGAGTAGCTGGGACTACAGGCGCCCGCCACCTCGCCCGGCTAGTTTTCTGTATTTTTTTAGTAGAGGCGGGGTTTCACCGTGTCGGCCAGGATGGTCTCGATCTCCTGACCTCGTGATCCGCCCGTCTCGGCCTTCCAAAGTGCTGGGATTACAGGCTTGAGCCACCGCGCCCGGCCGCAAGTTTCTATTTCTTCCTAGTTTGCCAAGAACTTAAAAGTTCATAATAAATTATGAATAAATACTAAATACTGTCATAGACTTTTCCAGCATCATTGAAAGGGTTACATGATTTTCATACTGAGTAACACTGATTCATTTTCAAATGTTGAACTATCATTGCATTGCTGGTATCAATTCACTTGGTCATAACATATTATCCTCTTTATGAATTGTTGGATTTAATATGAATTATTCTCTCTCTCTTTTTTGTGATAAGCTCTATAACCATCCTGGCCCTGAGTCTACTGGAGTCCACCAATCTTCTTTGGCAGCTCCAATCAGCTTTAGAGTTTTCTAGGTATGAGTCAGATACTACTATTCCTTAAGTCTTACACACTCTAGGGACCACAGATCAAGCATTTTTGTTGATTTTCTGCAGATATTTCCCACCCCTGTTTATAGGTGCAAGAAGCACCCAATTGCTATGATAGGCAGGGAAACAGAAATGTCATAAAAGTCTTACAACTCAAAAGTTTCCACTAGATTAGGAATTTAACACAGGCAAGTATGGAGAGAAGGAAGGAAACATACACATCAACCCCATTTAAGAAAAATCCCACAATAATATACGTATATTTAACCTGGTGAGGCTGGTCTCTAACTTTTGGGCTTACGCAATTCAACCGCCTCAGCCTTTCAAAGTGCTGGGATTACAGGAGTGAGCCACTGCACCCAGCCCACAATATATATATTTTTTGCATTGAAGGAAATGTGTGAGTCCACTTTTGTGTGGATAGAGTTATTAAATCATTCGGATACATATCAATGAATTCAATCATCAGATCATTGGGTAGGAATATATTTAGTTTTGTGAGAAACTGCCAAATTGCCTACCAAAGTGACTGTGCCATTTTGTATTCTCACAAGCAATAAATGAAAGTTTCTATTGTTCTTTGCCCTTGCCATAAATTTGTTGTCAGAGTTCTTAATTTTAGCCACTCTAATAGGTGTAGAGTGACTTCTCGTTGTTTTAATTTACAATTCCCTAACTCTCTTGTTTTTAAGAATGTCTGATATCTACTTATGCTAAAGAGAAGGCAAAGATGGAAAAATGTAATGGGATGAGACTTTGCAAACAATTGTAGGAGGACAATAGAGATAGCTGGCAACTCTTCATAATGACATTGGACAGAAATTTACAGTACAGCAAACACCTAGCTTAAAGATATGTAAGGACACAAAAGAATGTAACTGTGCCTGGGATTGTTGTGATAAAGGCCAAAACTGAAAGAGAACATTAGGTATAGCTGTGAAAATAATTTATGCTATGATAAGGAATTTCAGGTTTAGTTTATTGACAATTGGAAGATTTTAGAATATTTTAACCCAGAAAATTACATCAATAGCTTTTTAAAAAATTATATTTATTGGCAATATGGAGAATAAAATTAGAAGCAAGAAAGGAGAGATTGCAAGTTTGAGAATAGCCAGAAATAAGTAAATTCTTTCTGGTTGATCAAATTCTCAGGATGATTAAAATCTCTGATAAGCCCGATAAATAGAAATAATAAAAAGGTGTAATAGTGTGTAGTTCAAGTATAAATAGATTTCAAATGAGAACAGGGAAAACTGTAAATATTTTCTTAAATGTGCTTATCTTTGTGAAAAAATCTAAATTAACAAACTTGGAATCTAAACTATCAGCAGGTTAT